CAGCAGCAGCAGCAGCAGGTACCGAGGAGGAGAAGGGTGGAGTTGAACCCCGCGAGGGGGGGGGGTGTATAGTCCTGATATATCAGGTAACAGCACTCAGGTCCTGGGCTCCCACCCTCCTTGCTAAAAGCAAGACAGACTCCAGCTAGCTACAGCTAGCTTTCGTGATTTGAGGATGTTTGAGGGTGGCACTGAAGCGAGGTTCGAGGATCTCAAATGGTTGTCAAATGAGAAATGAAGGTCATGAGAGAACCCGTGGTCAACCTGCTCACCCATGCGAAAACCCCGAAAACAAAGAGAAACACACACACAGCACACATTATCTGCATCTGCTTCACATCTTGAAAAACACACAGAAGTTGTACACTGCGCTTGCTTGATGAACGTCGATCAAACTCAAGAATCACTGCAAGCACCTCAGCACCCTCTAACATCCTCTAACTCTAACCTCTTGTCCCAAACCCGACTCGCCATCCTCACCCAAACCGAGGTGAGGTCAAGGGTCTCTCGTTGGAGGATCGGCTGCCCGCTGCGCTTGTCCCAACAAATCAGCTGCTGATCCGCTGCCGTCGCCAAGACCAAGGAGCCCGAGCACGCGCAGGACAGCACCGGTCTTAGATGAACAAGTGGATACCAGATCCAGTCCAGTCTCCTGGTCATCCCTACAAGGAACCAGTCCAAGGGTTCACCAGGTCCAGTCTCCTGGTCTCCCGGTCCCGTCGAAGTAGGGCCAAAAACAGCCACGGATCGCGGCAGATCGGTAGATCACATCAGTTTAATTCATATTGTCTCGTCCCTACAAGTGCTGTCTAACCATGTCCAGTCTCCTGGTCGACTTGATCGAAACCGTCATGTTCTGCTTGAGTCCTGACCGGTTTTCAGTACACCTGAGGTCCAACGGAACCTTCAGGTCACCATCCGACTTTGAAGTGCGCATGTCAGCCTCCATTTTGGAGACCTGCTGGATCCTGCTGGTCATCCCACCTATGAATCCACCAGCTTCTCGGAATCACATCTTCCAGCCATTCGACGGGATCCCAACCACCAATCTAGAGGTTGAAGAACCCGAGTGTATCCGGAAACCACCATCCCAGTTGGGTACCCCAGGTTATATCAGGGTACTTATAAGGGTCCTACTTCTTGGTCACTATAGGTCACTCCCTTTCTGTCCCTCTCAGCCGGTCCCGGCGACTGCTGCAAGTCGTCGAAGATCACCTCACTCTTCAGCCCGCTGGGCGTCACCGCCCAGGTCACCACCGACTGATCCCTGGAGCCGCTCACGATCCCGTCGCCTGCAGTGGCAAGGCTGGGCGGCTTGGTGGGCGGTTTGGTGACCGGAACTCTGGTGGCTTGGGGTTCGGGATGGTATTCTGAAGATGAAGGTGATAGCACACAAGAACATACACATGTTGCTTTCAACATTGTGTTGTTTGGACCTATTTATGTTCTAATAAGATTCATATTTACTTACAGTGTGCAAAAGTACTAACACGTACAGTAAGTCTTTAGTTACAATTTGTACCAGTAGGTGGTCTTCTCAGTGGAAAAGAAGAACATGAAGTTCTTCATGGACACTTGAGGACGGTTTCTCAGTGGAGCATTCAAACACAACTAAGACAACACACATAAAACATCATTAAACAAAAGTTGCACTAAGACCATGTCCAGCTTAAGAGGCTCTTGCAGCGAGCTGCACCCAAACAGGTGACGGTGTCGGCATGCATGGAACTCCTTGAGAGTGAAGAGCCACAGGAGGTTGAGTATAACGACACCTGAGGGCCAGGTCAAAAACTGTAAGTCAATGTTTGTTTGCAACAAGTGCCAGCACAAAACGGGTCAAATTTGGGTGCAAAAAACTGCAACAACTATAAGGGCTGATCCAGGTGGTTCCGCTCTGAATCCTGATTCATCCTTCCCAAAGTTCCAGGACTTCCGAGTACGACTGGACGGGACACAAATTCAGACCACCCAAAACTGTCGAACACATCGCCTTCATAGAGAGGGTGGCCGGGAGAGACTTAGTTGATCTTATCTGACTCCTTCAGCTTCCCTGGAAAATAAAGGTTACTGTAACCCTTTTCTACCTGTTCTATCGTTCATGCCATAGCGATTGATGGCAACACTGTCGACACTCAGGACGCATAGAAAACAGAAACTCTGGAGAGCCTTTTTCTACCTGTGCTTGTTTAGTGGGGGAACCACTCCCCTCAGAAAGCTTTTGCAGGTTATCCACTGGCTGGGTATGTTATTTGGCTTCATCGGAAGAAAGGTTCGGTTCATCGAGGTTCATCGGCTCCGTTGCGTTGAAGGGCTCGGTGTATTGGAGGCGGTCATACAGCTCGAACGTGACTCTTAGCAGGTCAAGTCCACCAGGTTTGGACCTGAGTAAAACCCTAAACCCTAACCTGAACCCTTAAGGAAGACTGGAGTTGTAGGTTCTATATTTAATATAGGAGGTACATCAAATGTAATCCACCGTAGTTTGCTGTTGAGGGTCGTGCAGTCGCATGCAGTACCAATTCTCATCCTATTCTCTGGTTCTTCATTCCTTGGCCCTCTCAGGGCCCCAAACAGTACCAGGACCAGTGGATTTTCCGCACGAAACACGAAGAATCGCAAGTTAAGCCCTGATCGCCCAGCCGGAAGATCGCCCAGTTCGGTGCCAATGATCAATACAGGTCCAAAGTGAGGCCGCCTCTGAACACCCTTCATTCCAACGGACCAACGGATGAATCCCAGAAAAAAGGTATGGCGGAATATGTTGGAGGAGAGGTCCGCGAACCCCTGCCCTTCACGGTGTGTCTGGTCGGATGGAGCTGCCTTTGCAACATGGAACACCGTTGAACAAGTCCATTCGTGACACAATGAACCCACCTGAACCGTAGCCAAAGACCAAATCTCATCCAGACTGCTCAGTTCCATGTTTGCTGAGATGTGTTCATAGCTACATACTGTATCCATCCATCCGGTCATGGACTTCATCCCATCATCCCCATCCATTCACAGTTGCATGGGTGTGTAGTAAACATTCGGCAGACCTCCCGGACCCGGGAACGACCCCCAAGACCAATTGTGTCTCGCCGCCGCGTTGTCGTGGCCACCCAGCGCCAAGAGTTCCGTCTCGATCACTGCCAAGGCCGACAGGGGCCTTCCAACAGAGGTTGAAGAACAACCCGAGTCGTTCGACTATCCCAGTTGGGTACCGCGCAGGTTATAAGGGTCCTATAAGGGATTCCGGGTCCTATGCGAGGGAATCTTAACCTCTCTAGGTTTTGCGGAGGTCCGGGACGGTGACCTCCGTCAATTACGAAGCCTCCGCTAACACGAGTTCATTTGGGACTGGGAAACATTTTGCCTGGGAAAAGGCCAGGGCGCCAGGGGTGGTTTTAAGAGTTCCAGTACATATTCCAGTCCCATGGAGTGTTTGGGTATGCTTACATTCTTGACCGTCGAAATTGCCCAATTGATTGGTATATATGGCAGTTTTATGTGGTGTGTCTGGGATAGGTTCAGTGAAACGAGTCTAGCCAAGCCAGGGAAACCAGAAAGAGACCAAACCGGATTTGTAAAAGCCTCCTGTCCAGTCTGTGTTGGATGGTTTGTGGGCACCTTGCCACTTGCCAGACCCGGAAACACCGGATCTTAAAGGTGACAAACCTACACTACCCTACACTACCCTACACTGATACTTGCAGTCCCGGGCTTGCATTGGGTACCCCTTGGAAGGTCCAGGTATCTACAAAGTGGATAAAATTGGATGGACATGATGAGGGAATGTGCCAACCTCTTGTGTTTGCGCATCATTATGGGAATTTTTGCGCGCCAATCCTGAAGAAGGTCGAATCAAAATAGTGGGACCCTCTAGCCCCTCCAAAAATTGAAGGAGCTCGAGCAATCCAAGAAGCTCTGACTAGATTCATGACCCGTTTTTTCCTTTCATCTGATTTGTTCCTACCACCTTGACCCTTTTTCTCTCGATGTTCCATGGCAATGGCTTGGGCTCCCCGGCATGGGCGAGATCCGGAAGTTCCGCCGCGCGGTCGATGACTCAGCCGCCATCTGCAGGCTGCAAACGCGAAGGCAGCCGTCCTCACCCACGGCATACCTAGGAAATGGTGCAAAGTTGTGAATGCACTTTTGAAAATAACAATAGTAACACTATATAGTGTATATTTAAACAATATTCAATAAAGTGTAATATATATAGTATACTCTTCAAAGCGTTTGGTTTAGAGCATTTTAGAACAATGTTAACAGTCACGTGCCTTCAACATATGCCAGCTCGGATCTTTTTCAAGATCTCCAAGCCCAAAGACTGTTGCGACCTGGTTCTAAGGACTTCCAGTAGAGACTTGGCTGTCCATAGGTCCTTTGCTAAGGGTCTAACCCTTCCCAAACCATCCATGCATGGAATAGTTACCTACATAGTGTCATCTTCATGGGGTAATATAACATCTATAATATAACATAATATACAGTAACTAGACTATTCGTTACATGATGTTACATGCATGGTCTGGGACCGGGATCACCCCAACAAGACATCTCTGTCTGACCACGACTCATCCAGCCCCAACCGACCCAAACGGGTCGTGTTTGTGAGAGCGGCAGGTTCTGCGCGCAGCAGTCCACAGCTGTGATGCCTGTGAAGGAGGTGGGCGTAGCCAGCGGTTTCACTGCCAGGTGTCCTGAGAATTCCGCCAAGGAGCGCCATCCGCAAGGTCTGGGTGTTTTTGGGAAGCCTCTGGGTGCTTGAGGTTGGTTTCCCAACAGATCGTTGAAGAACCCTAGTTCGACCATCCCAGTTGGGTACCCCAGGTTCTATGACAGGTCCTATAGGTCACTCAACCTCTCTTAGTCCTTCCAAAAGAGCCGACCGAAATCGGTCCGAAGGATCCGGTGATGGTCTGAGGCAGAAAACATTGGACAACAGGTTCAGAAAAGCCGTGCATGGTCTGGGCCCCCGGAAAAAAAAACAACAACAACATAATCCCTAGAAAAGTAGTTTATCTCTGACTGTGTAGGGAAAGAAACACATATCCACTGACTGTGTATAGGATGTGGACCAAAACAAACCATCATTGGACACCATTAAAATCTCCAACGGTTCAAAGTCTCCACGCCGAGCTATTCGCTATTCGCTGTATGTTGTTTTCGGGTTCAATACAGCGATGTTCCGGGTCGACCAGACTTGTCGCAGACTTGTTCTCAGACTCAGCATGTCAATGTTCATTCAGAACTGGCCCGGTACGCTGTCAGAAACCTCGAGCACCCGGTACTCAGCTGTCCAGGTTTCGTGTTCACCGAATCTTCGAAGGGGTGCACCCAAAGGAACAAATCTATCACCATATATCACCCGAAAGCCGCAACAGGATTAATGTGTCGACTTTATTTTGATCCAACAACCTTGATCGTTCAATGGACGTTTAAAGTTCGGCAGTGACCTGTGAAAGGGGGTGGTAACAACCCACTTACCGACTTACTGTCTAGCTACAAGTGTAGCAGGCACTGTCTGACCGTAAAACTGTTGTTGCAACCGGAAACTTCAGGTTCTTCCTGCAACCCACGATCCAATAACAAGAGGTCATAGACCTGGTGCCTGGTACGTAGCGATCACATCAATCATCTCCCAGGGAGATGTGCCATTCTTTTGGTCCAGGGATGTCCAGGGTTGACTTCTTCATACTTTGTCTTTGGATTTTCAGGTGGATCTCCTCCAAAGAATCCAGACTTCTCTTTTTCATTACTGTTCATCATCCTCCCTCTTCGTATCTCCCCCCTGCCAAGCATCTTAAAGCCGCTGCACCAGTGCCCAAACCACGCCAGGATGAGGATGCGGAGCCGTCGGGCCGTGGGCCTGAGGCCACGCGAACACTATTTCGGTTCGATTTCAACCAGACTCAGGTTCTACCAACAGAGGCTGAAGGACCCTAGGTTCGACTATCCCATAGGTACCCCAGTAAGGTCCTATTTATGGTCACTTAACCGACTTAACCTCTCAGGTTCTAAGATTTGGATGTGTATTACCCTAGGGATCCGGTCGTACCTCCTCAAAAGGTGCGACTGGACCCTCCAAACCCACCCCAAACACCTTCTCAGAGGGTACTTGGATCCTTAGGGTTAGTATTTACAGTATGTTCAACCCCCAGGCCTGAAGAGGTTTCACATGGTTTGACAATCCGTGTCTGGCGAGCTTTGATGAATCAGTCTACATTAGCATGGCTGGGACTTTCAGTGAATACACGGAGGATTTTGATGAATTTAAGTTCCAAAGGAATGCCAACTGAAGTGAAAGGCCCCATGGCAGCATACCCAATTACTGGATGGTCAAAGGAATCAAAGGAATCACCCACATATCCCGGGAAAATACACTCGAGTGTGAAGGGGGCCCGTTTTTTCTAAGCGGGGCCGGATGGAAGATGCATCAAACATCTCCCCCCTCGTTCGACATCGACCTCGGCGCTCGCACCCTGGAGAAGGCAGCGGTATAGGGGGAGCTGACGAGTGGGATAAATACACGCTCTATCATAACCAGGTAGAGTCCACACTGTCAATGCTGTTTTGAGGTCCAACGTGGACTCCGATGATAGAGTTTCCTTCAAGGCTTCCAAACCAAAGCGCCGTCACATCCGCAAACCGCCTCCAGCTTGCGGCAAAAAGACATCCAACGCACCTGGAACTGCCTCCCCTCGCACTCCTAGGTGCCATTGCGCCCAGTGACCGTTCGAACCATAACCTCGCTCTCCGGTGCTCCCACCGCTGCGACCATTCACTGCGCGATCGACGCTCGGAGGAACCAGCACGGCACCACGATCGGCACGCGCAATCTGCCGCACTGCCTCCGCGTGCGGAACTGCTTCGGGGAGTAATGCTTGGACATGGACTGCAGGACAAAACTGCTGAGTTATCAAAAGAAAGTATAGTACATACGGTGGTTTTTGTTTCGATATGTCAGTTGCTGAAGCACTTTCTGTGAAGCTGACTAATTAGAAGAACTCAATAAAGCAGCTTGGCTGAATGGGCAAATGGGTGTGCACTGAAATCCTGCGACATCTCTGTGAACCTGCACCAATGAGGTTAGTGTGGGTTTCTGACATGCAAACCATTGCCAAATGAGGTTACCCAAACGTTTACACAATCAAACTTACTCAAGATGAAGCCAGACCAGTCCAATTTGTTGTCATTAATGATGTCATGTAATCTCACATCCTCGTGGCTTGGGGTCGTCTCTTCCTTACGGACCTTATGTGAATTAGGACCTTCAGTCCGTGACCTCTTTGGAGTCTGTAAGTCACCTCTTCAGGGACGAGTCGTGACCTCAGCCACTGAGTCAGCAGCTGGGGATGTTCACGAAAGGCATCGATGGGATGCGATGTGAGACCGGTGATGTTGAGCTTGTACCAAGTTCACTCTCTTCCGCCGGCCTTGTACCAGGGCTCCGATTGGTCAGCGTCTTCTTGAAGCTTCTTAGGAGGCCACTTGGGCGTCCTCAACCGTGGAGGGTGTGCCTCGAAGAACAACCTTGGAGGGTCAGGTTAGCTCGACAAGGTGATCACAGAATGCACAGGTTCATCACAGATGCGATACCCTTTGAAGAGCTTGGGCAGCTTGGGATGCAAAACAGCTCCCCAACAGCTCCCCAATGGCGCGTCTTAAGATTTAGAACCAGCAGATTCCCTAAAAACCTCAGCCACTCACACCAGAACCAGGTATCCTCATGAAGCACATCTAAACATCTTGGCTCAACAGATCGATCTGTCCCAAACCTTTGTCTCCCCATCAATACTGTAGGCTTATGTCCCAAACGTGGTATCCAACCTTTCTTAGAAGCCCGGACAGTGTAATTCCCGAAGACTGGGGCAAATCGCAGGGAATCAGTGAACACATGGATGAGGCCACGCGACACGGTTGTGCGAAGGTGGTGGAAGGTTCTAATGCTCGAAAAAAAAAAAAAAAAACACAACAACTGCAGATATAATTTCACCCCAATATTTGAGATAGGAGGTGTTTGGTGTGTTTCAGGTGTGTTTGCAGGGCCCAACTATCTCCTAAGGATATAGTCAGTTGGACTCGGACCATGTTGGATCGATGTTGGATTGTGTTATAGTCTGGAATCGTTGTTCGTTCTCATAAGTCAAGCCCTCGGTCCAGCTAGATCATTGGTATCAGTCAAAGGTCGTATTAGCAGCCTCACCATATCTAAGTACTACTCTAAGTACTATAGGACACACTTGGACTTTCTACATGTTTTCACAACCCAACTGACTGTGTATATATATATACATATAGATGTTGTTTAAACAATGTTTAACCAAGTCTAGTCCTTTCTACATGTTTCCACAAATCCCAGCAGAAGTGCCCAAACGGACCGTTTTGGAAGACGTGAACGGCAACGACGGCCCCCCAACTCTCGGACGGAGCTGCTGGCGCGGCATTCGTCCGAACCTGGGAATTTGTCCAGGAAGCCGGGAAGGACAGTTGGAAAAACAATATGTTCGCTATAGAGGTCTACGGGAAACATATATATATACATACACATACAATGATATATAATATAGATATGTATATTGTTGTATGCCCAAAGGCTAGGGGATTCATCCAGGAACCAAGAACATCCATTTCACCCAAAGATGCAATAGAGTCATATGTGTTGGGTCTATATGTGTTGGGTCTATCCTCATACCTGATGGTTAAAGGCCGACAGTTCAAACATAGTAATTTCAAACATAGGAAGTTCCCTTTCAGGTCTCCTAAAGACCATTCTTTTTATAGTCTTTGACTCCCAGGGTATAACTGTATAACCTAGAAAGTTACTCCAAACATCCGTTCTTCTTTCGTTAGCTCCATGGATCGAAACCTGATCGCTAGACCGACATATTGCTAGACCTGCTCTCATATGTTCTTTATGATCGCCTGATACCACCTCAACAGTCTGATACGGCCTCAATGTATCTTTGGACGAATCCATGAACATCCCCAGATGGCACGGATCTGGCTCGGGTCGAAACGCCATCCCCTCGTCACTCGAGAACCACTGTGGTTCTGAAAGTCGACACCAGCACCAGCCCAGCACCAGCCCAGCACCAGCCCACCAGCACCAGCTGACCGGAAATGCAGCGAGCCATCCCAAATCTCATGAAGTGGAGGTGAGGTTTGTCTTCCCAAAAAATCTCTGAGGTGTCTGGCAGTCTGGGTTGTTCCTCGTGTCTCGATTTCAGTGTCATAACAAAAGAACATATGTCCATGGATGCAAATCCCAATGAAATGTCCTGCAGAAAAAAGGCTTCACTGACTGAAGTTCTGAAAAGTAATCTCTTCGTGTCCAGTCTCCATTCACGCCATGAGACTCCTGCAGTTGCGTCTCCAGCACCTCCATCGGAAGACCGAAAGAGCTCATGTCGGCCTCGTCCTGAAGGAGATGCTCCGAAACGTTTCGGAGAGGCTTCTTCATGTCTAGGTCTAGTTGTTGATATGATATTGTGATATGATGTTATGATCTGAAATGATATGATGTTGTGATGTGATGTATAACTGGATAAGGTGTTGCTTTATGCCTTGTCAAAAAGATCGGACAACCAATCCTGGATGATTCGGATAAGTAACCTTGTCTTGCTTATTTTGATGTAAATGTAGGTTCTATAGCTATACCCTCCAAAACAGTTCCCTATCCAGGAGCCCTTAGGCCCACACCAAAGCAGCAACAACAACAAACAAACCAATATATCTTGCTGATATTGCACAAGGTACAAAACATTGAATTAGGAGAAAGCAATCTATAGTAACATATAGCATCATTTCAAGCAACTATGCCCGCTTTGGTGAGTGTATCATAGTGTCTCCATCGGCAGTCTCAAGCCAATTGTGGAGACCAAAAATGCGCATCCCTCATTTCAGGCGAAAGGCATCTTGAGTCTTGAGTCCAGCAGTTTACACGCCAAAGTAGACATTGCCATAGAGACGGCGAATGCTCACTGACTGACTGCACTCACTGACTGCAGATCGTAGTCTCGGACATACAAACATTGGGAGCTTGCCTCTCACGAATGTAATCATGGACGAAATATATGGGAGTTCGGATTGGATTGCTCCATGGTGAGATGTTCGTGAGCAGTCCGGAAATCCAGCTGGGATTCTGTTCGGGAAACCAGTAGGCTTTCGCGAGTGCCACTAGAAAATCCGACAGACCCCCTTGTGGTGTCTTCTCTCTCGGTTGCGGGCAACTTTTCCATATAGGATTCTGACCCTCAATGCCGATACCCACGAATCATCTTTGTCTGATGCGACTCCTCCATGTCCATGCTTTGCCCTGTAGGTGTACTCGCAAATGAGACAATGGGATCTGTTGTCTTCTTTTGAGTCCCACAGAATAGGGACCTCATCTTTGCATTGCTTGCAATTGTAAGGGACATCCATCTCCAAGGCCTGTTTGATGCTGTCTCTTGAGTCATTAATCCAGTATATAATCAATGTCATCAGGCTCGGCTTCAGGAACTTCATGAACAATTGAACATTCCTAGACTGTTAGGATCCTATCACTCTGAGGAATGACCACTGTCCACCCTAAGCCTGCCAGACCTGAGACAGTAATATATCCACCCACTGGATGCCATTTGTCGTTGCGCTTCCTCGACTCTTCACCACTCAATTCGACTCTGCACGCCCTGCGTCACCTGCAAGGTCACGGTCTCATTGATTCCACTGGAATTATATAATATATATATATATTCTACACGTGTAGATTAGGTCATTAGGATTCATCATTCCAGGTTAAAGATAGAGTACCAATTTGAAGACACCAACCACATCCAACCACTCGTGCTGGGTATCTGTACCTGAGGCTGAAGGCTGCTGGATGTCAAAAGGGGATGTGAGTCTTTTGATCTCCCTCTTTCCGAAGACAGAAACAACCAGAGTCAATCTCAACAAGGTCTGCTTGGATTTGCTGATTCGGAAGCGCCAGGAGAAAGAACACGAAGGAACATGCCAGGCGTTCATCCAGGAACCGGGAACGTCAACATCACTAGAAACTACCGCCACTGACCGGGTTTTGGTGTCAATGGCACCAGCTGGAGTCGTCTCGCCGCTGGAAGTCGTGGTGTTGCCCGCCGAGCTTCGGGTGATGTCTTGGAGCCAGCGTAGCACACGGGATGAAAGACGTTGTCTGCTTTGACCTGGGAAATCGGACCCCTTGGACCGGAACCCCTGGCCGATCCGATCCGCTTCACCCACTCGGCTGTTTGGAAGTGAAGCGAGACTCGGCCCCTCCACCCTGTTGGATTGGAGTGGGGTGTCCCTCATTTTCCCCCAAAAAGGTATCCGGTTCTCAACTGACTGGGTCTAGCTCCAGAGAGAATGTGTAGGGCGTCGTCGCGTCGCGAGACTTGTCAGGGTGTGACCCCGGACGTCAGAGACCGGGGTACTGGGTGGAGTGGATGGGAGTGAGCAGCCAAGTGTGACGAGTAGATTAAGATTCTGTAGATCTCACTAGAGTGGTAGGAATCACTTAAACTGAATTACTTAAAGACTATTGACTATTGTTTGTGACCTAAATCCGGGATTGCAAGTTCATCCCTCCTCCACTTCGATGCTTTTACTCAATTCGGCGATATTCAGCGTCCCAAACTGACCCCCATCTACTCCATGTGTCCAATCACAAACAAGAACGGACAACTTCAGGCACAACTTACCAACTAAGGCACTGCCGCCTCACCCGACTGCTTGTAGCCAAAAATCAGGTCAATCCATGCAGGCAAACCTTGGATTTGCTGTCCAAGAACCGGTGAAAAAATAAAACACCACATCTTCTTGAGAAGGAAAAACACACCCTAGGGATCCAAGTACCTTCTCAGAAGGTGTTTGGGGTGGCTGTGGAGGGTCCAAGTGCCTTCTGAGAAAGTACGACCGGATCCCTAGGGAAGGAAAAACACACATGTTTGACAATCACCTTAAAGGCAAAACCCAGAAACACTGTGAGACGTGTTCGCTTTCCAGCGCTGCACGCATCTGACAGATGAAGTCGATGACGCTGCTGGCCTGAGTTACAGCGGCTCAAGGTGGCCCCAAATAGAACTATTAGAGGATGAACAAGAGAACATCGATGGATGTGTTTTTATGGGGAAATTCTGCAGGATGGCCCCATGGCTAGTACTCCTTCCAAAACCATGGAGTTCCTGTAGATCTTCCCTGACATCAATTCTGAGAGAACAGGAAGAAGCGCTTTCCTAAGTTCCTGAAGATTGGCAACGCTTTCTTAAGTTCCTGAAGATTGGCCACTGGGCCTCATAGGCAAACAGTATATCCAAAGACTCATATCCAGTGACTCCAGTCTCCAGCTCTAGGGCTTCAAGACTGCCATGTTCCATCCAAAATCACACCAATCACCCAAGCTAAGAAGCTTGGATATGCTAAAAAAAGACAAACACACACAAAACAACTGATCCGCAAAAAACCAGGGAAGTGACTTTTTCCTCTCTGATCCCTCCACGACACTCGCACCAACCGCGCGAACCCCTCGCTCCACCAACCGCTTAACCGAACCAACGCGCCGCGCGACGCGCAACGCGCGACCGAGTCCAGCGGCCCAGCGGGGGAGCTCCACATCGCCCAAGGGCCGCTCGGGCGTCACGATCTGCAGGGAATTCTGGAGCCTCGGAGAGCGTCGAGCGAACCGGCACGGTGAGACGTTTTTCGCACGGAAGGTCGGATGGTGACTGGTGTTTTGTTCTTCTTGTTGTTTATCTCGGAAAAGGATGGAACGGGTGAAGAAGGTGAAGATTGGTGTGACTATACTGATGTGTCGAAGAACTGAAGCGTGAAGTATGTAACAAGAGGAACAAGAAGAATGCAACCTTCTACGTTCGATTCGATTCTAGGGTGCGGAATGGCCTTATGCCATGCCGACATGGCCTGACTTGTGAGTGTTTCAAGATTATTTCTGATTCCGAAAAAGGTTGGTTCCTGGCCTGTGGAAAACCAAGAGGCTCATGAGTCATGAGTCGTGCGCAGTCACCCTATATTATATATTGTAAAGAATTGTGAATTTCACATCTATTTGGGCATGAGTGAAACGTCCTCAGGTACGATAGGCATGTTTCACCCCACTTGACACCTCTTTCCTCCGCAAGTTTGGATTACACTCCCTCGTTACGTGACGTTACGTGGATGGCATGGCCCGTTGGAAAACAATTTTCCTCTACAAACAGGGGGTGAACGCCACTTCCATGCTACTTATATACAAATTTAAACACATGTATAATCAAATAATATATAATATAACCCCACACCCACAATTCCAACTGATGATGCTTCATCCATGCCCTGCCGCACTCGAAAACGCCTTTCACATTTCAACCACTTCAACGCTTTCGGCCAATGTTCACCCACCACATGTTTGTTTGCGGTTCTCCACCGCCAGGCTTTCTGGGGTGCCCGGACCATTCGGCCGGTAGGATGAAGAACTCCGGGATGAGCTCCATCAACGACGTGGTGCTCTCCTTGGATGGGAGACGCATGGAGACGCATTCGGCGCGCCGGCAAACATGGTGCATCTTCGCGTCGTCACCAGGGGACACCAAATTTGGTGTGTATTTTGATAGGAAGACCCCCCAAGCAATGGGTAGACTATGGTACACCATGGTCTTTCTTCCAGAGGGTCTTGGGGGGTCTCCCTATACACCACTCTTCCGTACAGGCAAAGACCGTGGTGGGTCCGGCGACGTTTTCGGCACAAGACGGAGACCCACACGACCCTGACAGGAGCGCTGGCCAGCACAAAAGACCATGGCTGGCGCACAAGGGCACACAACGAGTAAGGAACGGACACTGAAATCACCCCAAAAATGCGGTGATGGGTTCCCTATAAGGTTCTATAAAGATCCACATCTCTTCTCAGGTACGACTGGACCCAACCCCCGTGCCTACATACAAGTGTCTCTGAGCACCCAACTATCGTGGTGGCGATGCATAGGGGTTGCTTTATGTTGCTTCTACTCCTTCCATATCCTTCCATTCACAGTGGTTTCAGGAGTAGATGGCACAAGTAACCCCAAGCTTGGTGATTAATATTGACCTCCATCTGTCTAAAAGACCTGTATAGGAGTGGGTGGGTGGATGCCGCCATCGAAAGGTTTCACCTGTATGTCTTTGACTTCTCCGACTCGCCTCTCCGCCAGGCTTCATGCACCGAGTCCCAGGACTCCTTCACCTCGTCCGGCGCCAACGCGGACCGGTGGGCCACGGTGGGCCACGGTGCGCGCGCGGTGGAAACACTTCGCGGTGGAGACATGCGATGAGTTGGGCCGGACCTGTTCGAAGACCCGAGCCCCTTCAGCGGTGAAGGATTGTGTTAAACTGCAGCGCCGTGGACGGGACTAAACACCACCCCTTTCTAACTTCTGCTGCATGAATGATTCAGCTGTTCTTTTCGGTGATTCTGGTCTGTTTCGGTGTTCAGTGTTCAGTGTTCGACATCAAACATCAACCTGGGTTTTCTCTCCCGACCCAATGCACGACCCAACTGAAGAGAACACTGACTGAACAACCGTTTTTCGTGTATGCAGTATCCATCCGGATTCACTTCGTGAACTGGGCGCTTTGATCGAAAACATGGGAGCAGAAATGGGGTCTTAGTCATGGCAACTGTTAGGGTCTAAGAAATGGACATATTCATTAATGCTCCAGCGGTTGCGTCATGAAAAAACGTCGATGCGTCCCATTTACACTGTATATACCTGACAATCCATTGACCCTCAAAACCATTCAAAACCACTCTAATGTATAGGCAAACATTTGTGGATCATAGATGATGGTTGCGCCCCTGTGAAAAGTTCCCGTTGGCACCGCAGAATTCGGCTGAAAGAAGTGGGACTGAGCTCTCAGAACCAAACATATACAGTGTTTTCAGAGATGACAGTGGAGGGCACAAGTTACCCCAAGGTCGGTGGTATATATGGACCCCATCAGCCATCTAGTCTGGAGGACATTTTGAGGTCTGCACCATCTACTCCGAAACAACTGTACTATGATTCTGTTGATGATCTGGGTGGACTAAATCCCTATGGATCCACAATGATCCACAAACCTTAGGGTGAGGAATCGTGAGGAAGGAGACAGTCTCATGCAGGCTTGGATTGTACCTGTCTTTTTAACTAGGGTCTTGTCCCATTTTGGACTTGAACTCCGGCCCAGGTCACGAAAACCAGACGAACACCATGGGCTTAAAGGGTCTTTGCTTTCCACCCCCGAGATGCGCGGGGCCGAAGCGGGGCTCATTCCCCGATCCGTCCACCGTCGAGCTGCAGAACGGAAGAGCCGAGCCCATGCATCGAAATGGCCGTTATGGAGCCGGAGCATTCCTGCAGCCGCGAGGGATAGAGAAGGTCTGATTGGTCTGTTGAGGGGTTGAAAAGAAATCCCCAGCGTATGATAGCATATGGGTCATATGGGATCAATTGGTCTAAAGAGACCTGGGCCCCCAGGCATTTGTTGATGGTCACAAGCCTGTGCCCCGGCTTCATGTGTCCAAAGGGTCATGAGTTTCTCACACTGAACGGACTCGTCCGCCGCTGGGAGGAGAAACCTGATCGATGTGAGGAAGAACCTGGGTTCAGTTGAGACTTCAGGCGGGCTCACTGGGCAAAAGCTGGGCACCCTCCTCGGTGATCGACTTCAAATATCTGAAGAGCAGGAGCAGGATGCTTGGATTTGCTTAAGAAACTAGGAAAAGATAGAACAACATATGTCCCCAAAAGAGAATTCACCCATAGGGAAAACAACAAGCACTCTATAAGCAAAACCAAAGAAGAGGTAAATTGTGGCAAATTTCGAAGTCAAAGAACACCATATTTGACAACGGAATCTCTTCATTGACATGAAGAACACTAGCAACGTGGATTGTTTGAGAAATTCGCCAAAAGTAAGAGGAACAATTGTAACACGACCCACTTCTCCACGCCTCCAAGACGTGAGTTTTTGTTGCATGTCCAAGTGTCGTTCTGGCATGGACCGGAGCAGCCAGTAGATCACGTAGGCTGGAGTGGAGTAGTGTGTGCCATAGAGGAATCGCTCCTGTGTCCAGCTGAAATTGCAAAAGCTTTGCCCTCCTGGAGCCTCCTGGACCACCCAATTCCCCAAAAAAGGTGCGATATGTCCAAGCACAGGAAAAAAAGGTGCAATGCTTGACTAAACATGTCATATCTGTGAAAACATGACATTCGGTGATGGGGTGACCCCGGAGAGCCGGAGAGATAGACTTGTGATCCGGTACTGCCATGGGATACATGTTCTTCTCAGTTTTCTGCCGAGGATCGGGCTTCAAACCGCCTTCGTTGAAGCTGAAGTGTTTGTGTGACTGTGAGGTGTCCGGTGTCCGCTACAAAATTCGAGTCCACAAGTTTGCACCATATGGCCGATTTGGCTACTGTGTATTCCCACAATTGTGTGCCGTATTCTTGAAATCTTATGCCATAGAGACTTGTTTGTCAAAGGTTGCTCAACTTGCCATCCAAAAGTGACTCCTTCATCACACGGAATGCCAAAGTTGAACGCCAGAGAGTGTGCTCTGTAGGGATTTATATTGTTCTACCCTGATTGTGGCCTGATGCGCCAAGGGTGATATTGACATACAACATCTTTTGCTGCAAACACACATGCTTTCTTGACATATATGTACGGTATTGTTGTATTGTAGATACAAAGGTCGCTTGAGGCTCGAAGTTTACACAAAACACATCACATCCGGGGTTGGTGGAAACACATTCCCAAACACTCCGTATACGATCATACCCAAACACTCTATGTATGGCATATTTACCTACATTGGGGTGGCTTTAGGGGTCAATGTATGTAAATATGCCAGTCCCATGGAGTGTCTGGGATATATGCCTACATTGACCCCTCAAATATACCAGTCCCATGGGTCGTTGTTTCGAGGGTTCCCAAACGGTCGGGAACGCCAGTCTTCCACGGTGAGAGGACGGGACACCAAGCAGCTCCCCATCGGATGTGACTCGTTGGGGGTGGCTGATTCAGCACATCAAAATGAAAGCAAAGCCATGAGGCCATGAGTCAGAACAATCAGGAAAAAACACCCTCAGCAATTGTCTGACCGGTAAGAAGTTGAGACCAGCAGCTCAAATGATGGTCTCCCCAGGGCAAGGTCTAGGACCTAGGATTTGAACGCAACGACCTGGTGAAAACGACCGGTCGCCCAATGGACCTGGCCGCTTCTTTACAAACGATTCCATGGAACCGGAAGGCATGGACCGGTGGTTTCGAGATTCCGAATACCAACCCGACGTGGTGACCTGCAGTTCCATGTGGTCCGAATGGCAGGGGAGTATATTTCATCATCTTTGATCTGCCGAAATATACACCCTATAGGGGTCCAACCGCCTCCTGAGAAGATGGTTGGGGTGGGTTTGGGGGGTCTAACCACCCTGAGGATATAGTTGGAGCCCTAGGGACAATGGGGAACCCATGAAGAACATGTGAGTCCTAGGTAGGTTCTTGACGGGTGTGAGTCTGAGAATGGTGTGCCGACGGCAAACAAATTGCAGAGCTGTAGAAATACCTCGAAATACCACTGCTAGGAAGCCAGGCTTTTCCCCAAATAGGGAACTTTGAGTCTAATCGTTTAGGGTCCAGCCGTACCTGTTTTCAAAGGTATGTGGATCCCTAGGGGCTCAAACCACCAGCCTTATGACCTGTGATGAACTCACGTTCCCAACGGACCTCTACCTCACATCACCACCCCAAACATCTCCAAGTCTAGGGACATCCAGGCCCACCCACCCACCCACCCACCCACCGATTCCACCGCATCACCACTCAACCAGCCACTCCACTCTACCCAGCCACTCCCCGTACCCTCCCGAGGCCGTCCTGGTTCTCGGGCATCCCTGCCATCCGCTCACGGAAGTACTTGAGCCGCTTCTCCGCCAAGGCGCCCACCGGCTTGGAGAGGTCCCGGTAGCTGGCGGGGTCCTCCGACCGAGGGAGGATAGGAGTGAAGAGAGTCCTCGGGGTCAGGGAGGAAACAAACATCAAGGAGCTAGAGAATATCCAAAGACATACCAATGATTTGTATTCCAGATCCAATTCTTCATGTTGTTTTTCAATATGTTGTTTTCATGTTTGTTCATGTTTGTTCTGTTTCCTTGGCTTGGTATTCATGTAAGGGTCTCTTGCCAACCCTCATGACTCACCGCTCCGGCACGCGTTCCCGCACACGCTCCGGCGGATAAGCTCCTCCAGATTCAGTGTGGCGCTGGTATAGTCAGCGATGACCCATGGAAAAACCGGGTACTGGGAGAAGTCATTCCTGCCAAACTGACTGGTGCGACGATTTCGTCTGGAATGAGGGTGGCTGGATCCTAAGGTATCCAATCAGTGGAGGGGTCATTCCCTCATTCCCTATATACTAACCACCAGTCAGCAAAAGGTCAAGACTTCCAGTGCTGAGGGTTGCCTGAGCACCTCGAAATTGATGAAACATGGGGGACCATGCTTAAGCACTTGGGGTCCATATGGCGTCGTGGGTTAAGCACCTGGAGCACTAAACCTTCTTAGGTTGACCATGAACAAACAACTGAAGCCTGAACAATTGTGCAAACAATGACATAATAAATGCAACCTTAAAAGAACACTGCAGTCGATTCTGTTCATTTTCAGGGGTCAACCAGAGTGTCCTGGTTTGACCCCATGCACATATTTCAAATACGTATTCTTTTCCAACACGTCTAAGCATGGTTCTTTCAGCATGACGATGTCCGCCGGACGATTGCTTACAACTTGTGCTGAGGCCAACTGATGTAAACAATGTGTCCAACAAGAGTAACAAGATGGAGTAACTATGCTCTAACCTAGTGTTCTAACGTAGTTAGTGTCGTAGTTACTTGTTAAAACATGTTCTTCAAGAGTAACAAATGTACTTTGTTGCAGTGGGAGTGGCAAGGTTGAGTTGCCACCCTCATTGTCAGTGGTATCCTTTAGTATAGTACAAATAAATCTATAGTTTGTTGTCAACTATCCTCTCAGGCATGATGCCCTGCAAGAGAGGTCTCCAAATCAATCCGTTCCAAGTCCATGAGTTCACAATATACAGTATGCGTGTGTGTTTTTGTCAAAAGAGGAAGAGAAGCGAACATACATCAAGACACCTGGAACATGGTGTAGCATAGCCATGTACAAAGAAGACTGCCCAATGGGGATGATCAATATAACCCAATGAACTGGCTGCACACACACACACAAACCGGATTTCAACTTTCATGCAATTAATGTTAAGTCTCAACCATTGTCTTGACCTACCACTATGACTTCAATCATACGTTGAACTCTGCAACACTCTGTCATCAAAACACAAACAGTGTTCCCATCATCGAGCCATGCCTCGAGAAACACCAAAACAACGCAAAACACAAGCTTGGTGTCCAGCGAGATCTTAATCTTGCTCATAAATGAGGTGAACTCACATGAACCTGTTGTTGAATATGGAGACTCTTTACAAACCGCTAGAAAAGGAAAATATACAGTAGACTGAAACCCACACTGTATGGCCTGTTCCTCTGTTGGGTGACGCCCATTAATTTAACAGCTGGACGATCTGAGTATGGAGGTCCGTTGGGAACGTGAATTCATGGGGAGAAGTGAGTTCATAGGAGGCCATTAGGCTGGTGGTGTGAGTCCCTATAGGGCACTATAGGGATCCACATACCTTCCCTCTTCAGGTATTTCTGGACCGTCCTGGCACCTATCGAGCAGTGAATCCGATTCAGGGATATTCCAAGCAACCGATTGCCAAGTGTCCCGAAGATGGATTTGTTCCACCATGACATACCAAGTTGACTTGGCCATCTTAAGCCAGTCCGGTGGGTAGGCGTGAGGGCCCAAGAAGGACAACAGTATACTAGAATATAACTTATTGAGTAATAGTATATTATTGTCATACTCCAATGTATATATATATATATGGCCCAAAAACATACTATATACTATACGATCATACATACTCCATAAACAATACACCTGACCTGGCTGTCCAGGTTCAATGAAAGAATGCTCAAAAAAACAACGCCTTGCCTCGAGCGTCCCGCTGCGCAGTTCAGGAAGTCCAAGTAGTGAAAGTTTGAAAGGACCCCACTCTGCCAAAGAGCCGTCCTGGTCGATGTTTCTCGCGAAAAGCATGTATGATACTTTCCACACAACGCCAGTGTTTTGATGGGTCAAAGAAAGAGTTTTCTGATGTAATTCTTGGTTCTACTCCTACCCTAGGGATCCACATACCTTCTCAGAAGGTACTTGGGCTCTCCAAGCCTACATAAATAGTCTCCAATCACCGTACCTGAGAAGGTACTTGGATCCCTAGGGCTAGATATCTCCAAACAAAAATAAGAACCCATCGGCCTATCGGACCTTGGCCCTCGGAGATGAAGGCACAAGCTGAATAAATTCCACAGCTGGGGGAGACACATACAACTGCAAGCTCAATTCTGATCTGTTTTTTTTTTGATGGGGAACCAATCCCCTGAAAGACTTTGCTGGTTATCCACTGACTTGGTAGTTTTCCTTGAGACACCTTTCTCGGGTTCCATTCTCTTTCGTGATTCCCTATAAGATCCAAAGCAACTTAGACAAACACCTTGCAACCACTTATGAATCAGCTCCAAAACTAAACTTGGTAAATACATGTAAATACCTCGACCCTCCAGTTCGTAGCTTGGAAGTCTTGTGACATGACCAAACAAAGGAACAAAAACAATACCATAAAGTACCCATTTTCCGAGGTCCGGTTTCGGGTCCAAATGGAGGTTGAGTCTAAGACGCGGGGGAGATTCCAGCACCATCTGGCAATCTCTATACAATAAATTTGTTAGTTGCCATGAGCTGAGAACGTTCCATGGTGATCCCAAATGATTTTCCCCATATATACAGTCAGTCAGTCCAGTTTTCAAAAGATTTCCAGAGTCTGCGGACCGAGTCTAGCAAGTCGGATTTGATTTGTGTATGAGAAAGGATTGGACTTGTATGCCTGCCAATGGCATCCGACCTTTGGAATAGAGGGGTTTTATGCCAGGTACCATTATAGCTATTTGTTGTTAACACAATTTTGGGGTATACCCTCGATTCATCAACCAAGCATATGTTAGTCAATGGCCATTGGACTTGTACCAGCATTAGTGAGGAAAGAAACCCTGCACCCATCTCTCTCCTACGAAGAGCGCAGGGTTGAAGGGCAAACATGTCCAAATATATTCAAACATAGAATGATTGAACTTGCAAGATTAAACAAAAAACTCCGACACAGGAAGTTAAACTGATGTTTGTAAACAGCAACATCGTCTTGCCACACGTTTCTCTTCAACATCCATGTTCGGTCGGTGATTCAACGTAAAATAACAAATCTCACCCGATCCGCACCACCAAAGGAGTCAGGCCAGGCTCGCGTGGACGAGAACCTGCGACCGATCGCTGCGTCTGCGGTCGGCGCCGGTCTGTGGTCCCAGCGGCATCTTCCTCACGTTCTGCAGCACGGTTTCCGCATCATCCAGCGAGGACCTGCGACGGAAGGTGAGCCGAGGCCAGGCCGAGGCCAAGTGAGCCGAGAAGAGGTGGGGTCTCCGCCGACACGGAGAACTTGGGATGACCCAGTCTGACCAAATCCTTCTATTCGAATTTGACTATAAAATAACTAAGATGGAACATATGATGGAACTTCTTTGTCCCACCCAAGTCTTGAATCCGACCAAAACACAAGGCATCATGCCTTGCATGGTGGAACGATGTGGGACAGCCGATTGGAGTTCCGGCGTTCCGTGGAGGCGGAAACCTGGACATCTGCTGCGTCGGGAAGAAGCCAGGTGAAGCCATTTCTCTGGGTTCCATGTCCAACTGCTGCTGAGGCAGGAAAAAAAGGTCTACAGAAAAAGTCCACTGCTCAATGTCCTAACTGTTCCGCGATGGTCATTCGAGTCATTCGTCCTCGTGTTTGCGTGTTGGCCTTCCAAATCTCCCCATGACCCCCGGACACGAAGCAAATGGACCCTGACAAGAAGACCCGCACTGGTTGACGCATGACCCGCACTGGTTCTCAAACCCACATGGAAGCTGAAAGCCTCTGGTCTGTGGAGGAAGCTCGCCGGCCAAAGGTCCAAAGGTCGAGTGTATCCCCTACAACCCAGCGGGGTCGCCTTCATGGTCCACGTGAACGACGGTGCCGGGAGGGTAGACAAAGACAACTCTTGCCGGCTCAGTGGTTCTTACTTCTTGAGCTTGCTTCTACTCTAAGAAACAGACCTAAATTTAAGATTCAACTATATATATTCAACTATATATATATGAACAAGATTGAACAAGTCATTACATGTCATGGATATTCATGGATCATTTTTGGTCTGGCCCCTCCCAAAGCAAAACCTCTGAAATTGGAAGTCAATGACTCCAGCGGCACTAGCTCTTTCCCAAGGTCCGCGCCTCAGGACGCTTGGACTGACGATGAGGGCTTTCCGCTGCTCCTCCAGCAGTGCTTCCACATGGTCGCATTGGCCGTGTGCCTGGCCGGGCAACGACTGCCGGTTCCGCAGAAACCGACGAAGAAACGCGTTTCTGGCAACGGTGAAGTGAAGCTAAACGTGAGTGGACATGCCAGGCAAGGACTCCGGAGAATTACTTAAACCACACCAAGCTTCTTTCAAAAAGTCCAAGTAAATGTTAGTTTGATATACTGTATATATATATATATAGAGATTGTGAAAGGTGTTAATTTAAATCACAGTGCTTCTTGTCATTGCACTCCCTTCCAATGATGTTTATCTATAGAGCTCTGAAGTACGTTCGAAACGGGCCCGGGCACCTCATTGTGTCTGGTTCAAAGCCCTCAAATCCTAGCCATCAACTTCAGGAAAGACATCCGAATCCGACACATCTGGCTGTGGGTCTTTCAACCAAAAGATCCCCGGCTTCACCGAAGATGAACAGAACAAACTACCAAACATGGTCAGGGTTTTGACCCACGGCCGAGGGGTCTGTTTGGAAAAACCACTCAGTGAGGATGCTGCGCTCACCACCCGTTGCTAGGAAGCACGGAATTCGGTCCCCATGGCAAAGACTGGAAGCAAATTGAAAAGTCGTACTCCAGGACCTTCCCAGTGACCTTTTGAGATCCCAGAATGAGGTCACTTAGGCCTAGGCAGGCCGACCAGGTCACTTACCAATCCTGAAGATGTCACTGGGAAGGTACTGGCTGACAAATGTCTATCCGATGACTTGGCTTTTGGGGGGGGTTGTTCTTTGGGGTGTCCAATGATCGACAAAAGGTGTCCAATGATCGACATGTTGTCTTAGCTGACATGATCTTAGCTGACGAGTCGTCCATGCAAGCGAGGGAGGCTCAAGTCGATCACAACAAGGCCAGGGAGGACTCACCCTGATCAGGGTGTTCCGGTTCGGAACATGAACAACAATTGCACCAAAAAGTTAACCTCGTAATTAAAAACAGTTCTTTTAGATAATTGATATCTGAGATTATCTGATAGTCGTGGCAACTCGTAGAATGAACATACCCAACATGTCTATATAGCCACCCAAAGAACCCTTGGATCCATGGCAAAGGATGGACGCTCCAAACCCGACCCAATCCTTTCCACTTCAAGGATCGGAAGGTTAAGGCTGGACTATTTTGATGTGGTGCTCGGCCAAGACCCTATATCAGGAGCCTTGGAATCCTAGTCTGAGTAAAACCAGTTAAAGCAGTTCACCGCAGTCTGACCGCCGACCTCCGCGGAGCTTCGCGGTCCGCCTCGAAGCAAAGGTAGAGACATCCCCCGTGAACGGTGATGATCTCCAAGGCTTTGGCCTGAAGCTGCGGTCGAAGTTCACGGAGAACGCTTCGCGAAGCGCTAAACGCTTTATATATGGCTCTCGTTTTGAGAGTGGTACAAGTGGGTTGCAAAAACAACACTTAACATACAAACATGTGGCAGTGGAGGATGCATCTATGCTCGAGTGAGAGGACTTACAGTGGGGTCAAAGCACTGGTCAAAGCACTATTTCGAGGACTTGGGGAACTGAACTCAGTCGAATACCACATTCTTTGGATCTCTTTGTTACTTACAAGTCAACCAATTTTGGCCATGCGTCCTTTCTGACTCTTTGACTCAACCCGGTCGCCAAGCTCTGCAGTGCGTGCTTTTTAAGGGGAAACAGCAGGGGCCAGCGGACAGACCGGAGATCCAAATCAAACTAATTCCATTGGTTCAGGTTCAGGTTCTTAAGGAATCACCATGTCTAATTATAATTGAGTCTGTGGATGCTGCTCCCACTAACATGGACAATGAATGAAAATGGCAACTGGGAAGACCATTTTTTTCCAGTTGCAGTTTTTTTCATTGCATGTTGGTGAGTCGGAGGGTAATTCTTGATTCCTGCGCCCAAAAATGATGTTTAAAAGAACTCGGTATGCTGCATGTTGCGACCACTGGGGATCTACAAGCCGACTGCTTCTTATGGGGGTTGGTGTGGTAACTACTCTAGGAAGCAATCACAACCTGAAGGAACATGACTCATAATATATGTAAATAAGATTTTTGGGACACAAAATTGCGTACCACTTTTTGGTGCCCGCTTCGTATGAATTTCAAGGTAGTGCCCCTGTGCGGTAAATCTGTTTTTGTGTCCTGAAGAACCTTGGAGTCCTCTGAGATGATATTATCAGGGTTTCAAAAATTTGCAGGTTTGTCATCGTGGCTATGCAAATGGTTATTGTTTTGTATATAAAGTGCATGGCAGCAGCCGGTTAGACGCACCGCATCCGCACACAGCACAAAGCAAGAGGTCTAGCCTTTTGCTATATGTGTTTCATCATCAAGTTCATGCGCTGGTGTCCTTTGAATGTCTGCCTAAAGTTTCAGCTTCTTAAGCTGCTCACATTACACAACTTCATCATTGAGGCTACAGCTACAGCATGTGCACTTCAGGTCCGGGTTGAAGCGCATGCAATGCAATGGTACGCTATCTCTGTACGCTATCAGCATCGGATCGTTCCTTGGAACCTCTAAAGGGCCTCCTTTTGGTGCGAGGCGTAAAATAGAACCGCCACTTCAGGTGGAGATGGCGTCGTGTGGACCGCCCAAATGAACAGGTCATAGACTACACCAAACATGGTCAACCGGGCCCGTGGTGAGTTGGGGGCGAAACGGCTGATCCCTGCCTCCGGACCGTGTGGAACAAATCGGGTACGTTTTGTAATTGAGTGCCCGGTCGTGCATTGCTTGCGCCCGTTGTTCATTTTTTTTGTTGTTTCATCCATTTTGCGCGGCTTGCTGGTCCACCAGGTGACTACTTCATTGGCCTAACGTCGATCACGCAACTGGTTATAGTCATCCGTGCGCTCCAGGTCACTCACGCCGACCATATTCAGTAACTCTTTGGAATTTCCGCGTAGCATCCCAATTGAGATACTTGAGCGGCCACCATACCCTCGTCGAGCCAAGCATCGCTTACTTGGATGGAGTCAAACACCTGTCAATCTCTCAATGTTTTTGGAGCAGGATGTTTGGACCAGCATGGAAACAGTCTGTCACGCAAATTGGCATTCCAAGCATCCTGGCCTCACAGGTATGAACATGTGCCGTTTTCACCTCGCAAAGCTGCTCGCAACAAAGGCATCACCAGTAGTCTTCTTAGGCTTGGCACTGAGGAGTTCATGCTTCACGCCAAGGTCATCCAAGGAACTTCACATGGTCCACTCAGGACCAAGCTGTTGCCAAAGCAGTGACTTGTTCAAAAACCATCTTGAGCAACTAGAGAGGGGGCTTGACACGCATGCGCACACACACACACACACACACACACACACACTTCTAGCAAATCCTTCCCCCATCCTGGTTGACTAGCATTGCCAAAGCAGAGTTCCAACCAGTCACTTCTGCCACAAGCCAAGGGCACTTCTGCTAGAAGTCACGATTTCTATCCGGCCAGAATTCCTGAGCAAATGTATGTACCACTTCACCTTCCTCGATGAACATATGTGCCAAACCATCCTTTAGACATCTATGTGCACCAAAGGAGCGTTTGGGATATGACTATACTATATACCTGGAACTTCCTCAGAGTGCTTTTTATCGATCTGCTGCGCGAAAAACATATTTTGGAGTCACAGCCTTATATTTGAGTCTGCGGATGTTTCTCTAGTTTTCAAACTGTCTTTTAACTTCCACAGGGGTGTATACACAAGCTAAGGGCGTTTATTGGTGAGCCACAGGCGTTCTTTTCCCCGAACGTGCTTTTTAAGAGCAGATGTGTATTTCTGTTGCACATGTTTATGTGGTTCACAGACCTAAATGCAGGTTGTTGAACTACCGACCAAAAAAACAACCACGAGGTTGCATGCAGGTATATAACTATGTAAGCCCATGTAATCTTATATACATGAAGTGTAGCAGGGCTGAAACAGCAGCTCCCGACCCACCACCCTGACCAGGTCCGCCTGCACGCCGTAGACGCGGCGGAACACATGAAGTACATCACTCAGGGGCACCTCGGGCATCGGAAGCCATCTCCACATCGTGGATCTCATGGATCCGATTCGGACGTTTCAAGAAGCTGCAGTTCTTTTCTCATTCGACTGAGTTATACTGTAACACTGTACCATGTTTGGTCTTTTAGACAAACCGATGTTGTCTAACGAACACTATATATATATATATATTTATCAATAATAGAAGTGTCCAAACAACCATATATAGCAAACATCAAATCAAATGCACTTCTTCGTTGGGGTCATGCTTGCTGCAAGTGTCCTAGCAAATCAAACAGGACATTTTCACACATACAGGCGACCCGAAACCGCACCTCGGAAAATGGGGCCCCACACGGCTCAGCCGTTGCCATGTTCGAAGGTACGGTCCCGGTCCGGACCGGGTCCAGGAACTTCAATCAGCCACTGATTTGGGATATGTTCGAAGGGCAGAACCGATCGGTGATGGTCTTCAAAGGCATGACATCAGACCCCTCCGCGGACCTCGGAGCGCTCAAAGGAACGAAGGAGAACAAAGGAAAAAAAAAAAACATGAAAAAACAACCCGTTGAACGCACTAAGCACTAACACCACCCCCAAACGTTCCGGTGCCACGTTGTTCAACGTCCAAGTGGCACGGCGCACGAACTCCGAGGAGAAGTTGGGGTGCGGCTGAACGTAGATGGCGTCTGTGGACAGTTGCAGCAGCCCCCTGCGATGGACGAAACAGATCCGAAGACGGTGGAGCTCCAGCGGAGCCGGGGATCGAAGCGGAGCGGGTCCGGCGAGTTGGGTGCGAAACATGCGACAAGAAGAGGTGAACAACGACGACTCAAGTGACTGAATCCATCGACCATGACGTTTCAATTGGTTTCAGCATGTTCTCCCGTAAGTCATATTTAAAAAAAACACACACATGCACAAGGCAACCGTTCCGTTCCATTTGCTTCTTGCGGAGTTCAAGTTCCAAGACTGACAGCGAAGTCCATGGTGCCGAAAGGAAGCCAATGCGAAGCAGTCGGGAGCTGCATCCGTGGGACCGCTCTAAAGACCGATGCAGAAAATGATCTTGGATTTCCATGTAGTAGCAAGAAGCTACTAGGTGGAGGCCATCGCGTTGACCTATGATTAATAAAGGGATCCGGAATAAAGTTAGCCAAGCTGCGCCCTGATTAATAAAGGGACCCGAAATAAAGTCAGCACTTGTTTTAATTTATGTTGTTTTACTTTTGTGTTTATCTATATTTGTATTTTATGATTTAAAATCAATTACTGTTGATAAAATCGATATTAAAATGTGTTAAAACATATTTTAATCTTATTGTTTTATTGCCATGGTTTATGTTTCATTATTGAACTTGTTTGAAGTTAATTGATTGTTGTTTATTCTAATATATTATTGTTAATCTATGTTTAAGAAAGGTGATGTTTATATATTTGAATATTTTTTTAATTGTCTATTTGACAAACCCTAAATATAGTTTACCCAAATAAAGCTAATTGATTTTTCTGAAACCACAACACCCTAGATAAAGTTTACCCTAAATAGAGCTAAGGAATTTTCCTGAAGCCACCAAACCCTAAATAAAGATTACCCTACATGGAGCTAAAGAGTTTTGTTCATTCAAGTACAGTCCTCGTTCAAGTAATTGCAACTCAATTAGAGTTCAATTCCAATTCATTTCAACGTCATGCCCAATTCACTTCTAATTTGAATTGTTCACCAAACCTCAAAACCTTGTGATAAAAATTGTTTGTAAATCGCTTGTTCAAAACAATTGAAATTGATCAAAACCATTCTGGAAAGGGTTCTCCCCATGGAGCCATCAAACCCTACATACAGCCTACCCTAAATAAAGCTAACGGAGTTTCATGAAGCCACCAAACCCTAAATAAAGCTAAGTGGTTTTCATGAAGCGAATTTACCCTAAATAAAGTTTACTCTAAATAAAGCTACTGAATTTGGTCTACTGAAAAAAATGTTTTATTCAATTACTATTGAATTTGAATGTAATTCAATAGAAATTAACTTCAAATTTAATCCAAACTCAATTCCAATTGAATTTAGACTCAATTGAATTGAGTTTAATTTCAATTCATGTCTAATACTAATTCACCTTTCTTTTAATATTTGTTTTAGTAAGGGATCATTCTATTTTATTACATAATTCTTTCTTGGAACCTGAGATGAATAATTCTTTCTTGGAACCTGGGATGAAATATATTTAGGGTTTCCCAGAAATTTTATGGTTTGACAATTTGACAGTACATTTATTAATCAGAGGTCAACATTAGGTTGGAGGCCAACGCTACTAGCAACAAGATTTCCATATTTTCCTAAAAATATCTTCCATGCGGATTGGATGCACCTCCAAATATGATCCAGCCGCGTGTTTTTTCTGGCTCAATCAACGTGTTCCACGCAATCCCGCATCCACACCATCCACACCATCCACTTCCACTTCCGCTGTGCCTCACTTCTAGGAGCGGTTCCACCTACGGCGGAAAGCATGTGTCACCCACTCCCAAACACTCCATGATGAGACTCGTACATATGACATTGACCCCTTTTCAAGCACCCCAATGTATAGGCTAGGTACATATGGCAGTCCCACTAAGCCATGTCTGAGACTTGATTGGTGGTGCCCTATGGGCTCTAGAGAGAGAGAGAGAGAGACCCAATTGAGGTGGTTTCCCTGTGTCTTTTCTTGCGACAAATTTGACGTGTAAAAAGATTAAATGTGATAGAGTAACCAGTAACCAAGCAACCTTTTAAAAGAAAACCTGTAGCCAAAGCGCCAACCGACAAACACACAAGTGAGCAGGCCCCCAATCAACTCTCTACATGTATCCAAATCGAGTGGAAAACACACACCCAAACACTCCAAACAGCCCTTGGTGCCTCAAAAACTAGAGATTTGAGACTCAAAAAACCCCTCCATCTCGTCTCAACCCTACGAGTACCTTGGAGGAAGACAGAACTTGGGGAAGGCTCGGCGTATCTTTGCAACATCAGCAAGAGATCAATGGAAACCATGTTGTTGGAACGTTCAACATATCGTATCTAATGATGCTTTCCTTGGTTCAAGGGTCAGGCCACGGAACTTAAACACCTGGAAATAGACTATTCCCTCCATCCACTAACTACTTAATCCGAAGGCTTTCTAACGGTAATTACCATTATACAATACTGTTTCGTATATAATTGTGCCAAAATTTGGACTATATGTTCAACCGTTCTTCCAAAGTTCACCATCTTTTGCTGCAAGATCCATATAACCAAGCCAACATATTGGGCAGCCTCATCAGCACCTCCTCGGCCCGTGTCGCCGTGTCGCGCACACCGACGAACGATGACCGATTCCGCGCCTGTCGAACCCACAAACCACCGGGCAGCAGGGCATTTTCCCGGTGCCCCAAGCGGCTCACGTCGAAGCGGACATCCGCAGTGACCTGCCGATGGTCACTGCCGATGTCCGACATCTGGCGGACGACGAAATCGGCCGAGCCTGCGCAAACCGGTTGGTCCCGGTTGGTGGTTTCAAGTCACTTGAACAATGTGAGGACTCGTGGGGTTCAATCTGGTTCAATCATCCCAAGTAAAGGCTGAAGATGAACTATATCTGAAAATGACCACCCAGTAGCCGAAATGCGATGCGATGGAAGGTCACAACCCAACGTTTCCATTCACCTCCGTTTCGGGGAGTGGTGCTTATGCTGGGGGTGCCACTTTAAAGGGGGGAGTCAGTCCCTAACTTCTGAGGATTTGGGCCAGGAGCCCTAGGGCAAACAAGAAACTGTTAGAAAAAAATGGTTTATCGTCAGGTGTCGGGCTCCATTTATCGTCCTGATGTTGTTTGATGTTTGGCGGTGGGTGTAGCAAATACATTCACCAAGAAAACATTGCTGAATGTTGCTGATAGGTACTCAATGCTGTCATTTGTTCTTGTCGAAAAGGTTTTTTCAATTTCAAAAACAAAAAACTATGCTCAACCGTTCTACTTGCTTTAAACAATTGAATAATACAATAAAATAATGTCAACATACAACCGTTCTACTTGCTTTAAACAATTAAATAATATAGTAAAGTACTGTCAACAACGGATTAATGAATCCCTCCCATCGTAATCAAGCCCAGCTCGGGCCCCCAATACTAAACGAATGAACAACCTAGATTTCCACCTTCGCATACCCCTAATAATGTGTTTCCTGTCCAGAACCCCCCTATATTAATCAAGCCTAGCTGTCCCAGACAAGGAATAATGTACAATCATATTTACAATCTGATCTATCCTATCTGATCTCTGAGTCTTATCAAGCTTGTGCCAATACACTCAGAGCCCTCATGGTTCAAACTCTCATGATTCCCCCAGAATCCCATCAACCATCATCCATCATCAGGTCCAGGTCCTCATCTCATCGTCCATCATCAGGTCATCACCTTTATTAGGGGGATGTGGTCCAACAATACCTCCAATCTCAGACCTTGTTGACCTTGAAGGGGGAGTTGATTAATCCGACGTCGACATTATACTAAACCATACCCAGGTCCGTTCATCAGTTTTGGACTATATAGTAAGTAGTTCATGATGGACTCCAAAGAACGAGCTGCATTTGTCATCAAAATATATGAAAAATTGGAAATATTCTTTGTGCGTCTGCGTGGGATAGCACCCCCACATTTTGTTGAGGCCTGGCTTTTGTCGCACCAACTCTAGCCCTATAGTTTCACCCTCTTTTCATCCTGCTTTGGAAGTGGTGTACGAATTCCCCTGATCGAAGGGCTGGACGTCCAACGCGGGGGTTTTCAATCAACTCCAACACCTCCCACCGCATCCTCTGTCGCGCCGTGTCGCGGCACTAAGATGCGCGTTACACGTGCGTCCTGGGCCTCTGAAAGGATCTGCCGAACTTCCGTGATGGAAGCGCGCATGAGGCGCTGAGCTAACCTGGGAGAAAGAAGTTCGAAGATCTGTGGATCGAAACGTGAGGTAAGCAGATCATGGATCTCAAGCCACAAGCAAGCAGCGCAAGGTGCTGCGGATCAGAAATGGACTCTGCGAGGCGCCAAGTTTCAATTGCTGGCAAACACTCCTGTTGGATCCAGCCACAACCGCTTTACAAACTTGTTCTTGGCGAAAAACAGCAAAATCAGGGAAGTTGAGCCCAATGGAGGTTCTTTGGGCAGTGATTCATTTATCCAAAGCGCCCATGGGTCTTCCGTTATACAATCATAGCTAGTATACTAGATGATACTAGTAAGTATATACTAGTATATGGTCAAAAATGTCCTCATTTCCTTCATATCAGTCACTTGTTGAACGTCTTCGTTGTCCTCCTCTTGTCCTCCTCCTGGCTGCGCCCTGAACTCTGTGGCTGGGCTCTGTGTCCAGGCCTTGTCCTCCTCTTGTCCTCTGTGGCTGGGCCTCTGTGTCCAGGCCTTGTCCTCCTCTTGGCCGCGACCCTGAGCCCCTCCTCTTGGCCGCGCCCGTAAACTCTGTGGCTGGGCTCTGTGGCCCAGCCTCCTCTTGTCCTCCTTTTGGCCGCGCTCCTGAACTCTTTGGCTGGGCTCTGTGCTCTGCGTTCAGGCCTTGTCCTCCTCTTGGCCCGGGCTCTGTGTCCAGGCCTTGTCCTCAGAGCCGGGCCACAGAACCCAGCCAGGACGGCCAAGACGATGACAAGAGGAGGGCAAGGTCCTGGCCGCGCCCTGAAATGTGTGGCTGGGCCCGCGCCCTGAACCCGGCTCTGTGTCCACGCCCTGTTCCCCCAAACAGTTTACAGTTTACTGTTGTCCGCCTCTTATCCTCCTCTTGTCCTTGTCTTGGCCGCGCCCCTGAACTCTGTCGCCCGGTTCTGTGTCCAGGTCTTGTCCTCATCCTTGTCCTTGTCGTGTCCGGGTCTTGTCGTCCTTAATCTTGGCCGCGACTTGTCCTGGCGTTGTCCGCTGGCCGCGCTGGCCAAGCCTGTCCTTGCCCTGCTGTTGTTCTCCTCTCTAGTCCTTCTCTTGTCCTCCTCTTGTCCTGCTGTTGTCCTCCCCTTGTCGTCCTCTTGTCCTGCTGTTGTCTTCCTCTTGTCCTTCTCTTGTCCGCCTATCCTGCACTCGGAGCGTTGCAGGGCGGACTCGAACGTTCGGTCAGCGCACTAAGCGCGCGCTCGGGGAGCATGTTCCGCAAGCCTCTCAAGCATTTTTGGGTGTGCGCCGGCGTGCTCCAGGCGCGCTCGGGGTCACAGTGTGCTTACTTAAGGGCGCGCGCTCCGGCGCGCTCTGTATATGTGCTGGCAGCGCTCTGCGGGCGCGCTCGGCAGGTGTTTGCATGGAACGTGCAGGCAGCGCACTCTGAAGTTTGGAGCCCTCTCTTCAAGTAGCGCGCAATTCCTCAAAGGTTGCTTCTCAAAGGCGCTTGGAGAGAGTTTTGGGCGCGCTCCATGCAGGCATAGTTAGAAAGCGCGATGGCAGCGCGCCCCGCGCGCGCTCCCCAGGCGCGCTCGACTGGGGCTCTGGGCGCGCTTTGTCTGGAAGGCGTTGGCAGCTCGCTCTGGTGAAAGGTGTTCCAGTCCATAGCCATTCCTGTGAGCCCTAAATTGTTTGAATCAATCTATTGGGCGAGAGGGGTGCTCTCTTCAGTTAGATGCTAGGCGCGCGCTGTAGAACATGCTGGGGGTGCGCTGTTGGGCGTGCTTGGGAGCACATTTCAGGAATAGTTCCGAGTTGGATTTTTTTCGACTGCATGGCTGGCCGCGCCCGTCCTCCTCTCCTCAGCCTCCTCTGTTCTTGTCCTCTGGCTGCCTTTTGTCCTTCTCTTGTCCTCGTCTTGGGCGGACTCTGGAACGTTCGGTCAGCGCGCTCGGCGCGCCCTTGGAGCGTGCTTTGGAGCGCTTGCTTCACGTTGCGCGTCCCTTGCCCATCCCATTTTGCCGCAAGCTTCTGAAACATTTTTGGGTGTGCGCCAGCGCGCTCCAGGCGCGCTCGGGGAGTGTGCTTTATAAGGACGCGCGCTCCGGCGCGCTCTGTTTACCTGCTGGCAGCGCGCTCTGGGCGCGCTCGGCAGGTGCTTGGAGGGCACGTTACAGATGCGCTCTGGGATGCGCTGGCAGCACAATTTGAAGAACGGTGTTCTTGTCTAGTCTGGCGAGCGCATTCTTTAATTCGATTCGTGCTTAGGCGCGCTCCAGGCGCCGCTTGTGGGCCTTGCCGGGAGTGTGCTTTCTTTGCAGAGCTTGGGAGCGCGTCCCAGCTTTAAAGACTGAAGGACTATGAAGCGGTCCGAGTGGCTTGGAATTGTTCCAAACGGGTTGTGTCTTGGGAAATAACAGGAGCTGGCCACACTGGCTGGCCGCGCCCCTGAACTGTCCCCTCGCCGCGCTGGTCCTCTTGTCCTCCTTTCTGTTGTCCTGCTCTTGTCGTCCTCTTGTCCTCCTCTCCTCCTCCTCTTGTCCTGTTGTCGTCCTCTTCCTCTTGTCCTTCTCTTGTCCTCCTCTTGTCCTTCTCTTGACCTCCTCTTGTCCTCCTCTTGTCCTGCTCTTGTCCTGCTCTTGTCCTCTTTTTGTCCTTTTCTTGTCCTCCTCTTCTTGTCGTCCTCCTGTCCTCCTCTCCTTTTGGTCTGTTCTTGTCGTCTTAACCCTCCGTCCTCCTTTTGTCCTTTTCTTGTCCTCCTCATTGTTCTCCTCATCCTTTGGCCGCGCTGGCGAACCCTGTGTCTTCCTCCTGCTTCTAGTGGCCACGTTTTTGAACCCTGTGGGTCCTCGAGTCCTCCTGGTGTTCCCCGCTGTCCTCGTGCCACGGTCGCAAACCCTGTGTCCTTCTTTTGTTGTTTGTCCAGGTCTGCCTGTCCTGCTTGTCCACGTAGTGGGCCCGTTTATCACCGTCTTACCCGGGGCTTGTCCCCTGCTTGGCCACGCCGTTTTTCCTATCTCCACCGCCTTGTCTGGGTACCAAACTGCTGGAGGCTTTAAGAAATATACTTGCATTCGTTTCCACCAACATTGGAATTTTCGGAGTTGACGCCGATGCCGACAAAAATGCTGACGCTGTTTGGGGTCTATGCTGGGTGTAATTTCACAGATCGGGTCCCGTCGTCGCCGTCTCCGCGACGTCACTTCATCTCCGCTTAGTCGCGAGACGCCTCTCAGCTCGCCGAGACGTGGACAAGAGGTGGACAAGACTGGCGGGTCAAAACCGCAGCGTACAAACCATGGAAGGTTGACATGTCCCTTGTTACAAGGGATCTGTTCATTTTGGGTGGCCATCCTTTAGTCAGGGATTGAAAGACCCACGATTCACGTGGTCAATGACTTGCAGCCAAGTGACCCCCAGTGACTAAGGAGTGCTTCTTGGGAAGTGAACACAAAAAGCACTCCAAGTATATTTTGGATTCAGACTTTTAAACGGACCAAACGAGGTCGACCAGGTGGGCCATCAACATGTCGTGTCTGGGCCGAGGAACTGCTGATACTCCGCTGCTTTGGCGTAGTGAATGTGGAAATTCGGCTTAAACTTGCCTCGGAGGTCAGATCGCAAATCCAGATCGCAAGATCGAGAACATCATGTTGTTTGCATTGATTAAACACTACCTGGAGTCTTGGAAAATGGGTACAAGATGGTACGAATACCTTCAAGATCCTTCAAGTATCTTCAAGTACCTGTTTTTCAGTCAAGGTTGAAGTCCAGGGCTTCGCGAGGGCTTCGCGGCTTCACCATCTGTCGTAACTGGTCGTGCCTGTGCTCAGCTCGCTCGTGGCCCTTTGCCAATCCTTTGCTTTGTTGTGCAGGTTCTTGTGCACCCGCGCTTGTCCTGTTGGCTTTTGCCATGGGGGTAGTCCGTCTGCTTCCGCGAGCGACATAAACACCTGCATGAAACATGTCTGAAACAGCCGAAACTCATGCTGTGCCAACTGTGTTTGGACTGCCCTGCCGCTGACGGTCGCTGCATCTTCCAAGACGGCTTCCGAGATTCGCTCAGGTGCTAAAGAAAACAATGTGTGTTCTCAGATTTACATCAAAACGTCACTGCAAATTCAACATTTGTAAGTGAAACAAGTGCATCCGAGAAAAAGGTGGCGAGCGAGTGCCACAAAAGCCTCAGTGTTTCTGCAGATCTGCAAACAATGCTCGTTGTAAAACTCAGCGTGTTGGCTGAGGTTTTGAATGTTTGCTGACTTTTGTTGTTGTGTGTTTTGCAGAACATGGCGTCTTTGACGGATTCCTACAATGAACATTACATAACACAACAGTACGCTTGGGTCGTCTTCCTTGTATGGAGCCGTTGTGGTTAAAATCAGGTGATCAGTTTCAAAGGTATTCGCAGCGATGTGTGCATTTCCAAAGAGATGTGCTTGACAGAATTGGCCGGGGGACTTCCACAGGTCTTTTGTATAATTGTACCTTTCCTGAAATGCCCGAACATAATCCAGCTTCTGCATGCCAATATGTGCCTATAACAAAATGGTACTTTACCAGCAGCAGTTCAATGGCTGTGCTAGCTGTATGACAACCCTCTCAGCAGTCCTTCATCTTTTGCTTAAGGAAAACCAAACCAAACCTTCAATCAAACCAATCACCCCAATGAAACCCCCCTCGGATTATTTAAACTAATACCAAAATGACAAAAGCAATGAAGAAAAAAACACAAAGAACCCACTGATCTTGGAAACGCGGCCACTAAACTGATCTTTGTCCACGAAATCCCATTTCCGACATCCGAAATCGACCAAGGGATGTTTTTTCCAGTTGTCAATTCTCCGGAAGAACACACCTAAGATCATCATTTGGAAAGCCATGCACCGCCTTCCACCGCCAGAAAGTATTGCGTTGAACAAACCCATGGATTTGCAGGAACCAACCGGATTTGCAGGATTGTATGTCGCAAAACAAATGAGGACCACCGGTGCGCTCTAGCTCTAGGGTGAGAGGACCAACAAACACTCCGGTCCATCGCAGGACCCGGTCATCGGATGTCCGGTCCACGGCTCCAAGTCGACTCGGATCCGTTCGGTTGTGCAGGACCCGACCCGACCGGAAACGGCACCTGGACCCGACCTTGGGACATTTGGTGTCTTCGAACACGGACGCTTGAGATGTGAGATGTCTATTGCAATCAAATTGAAACCAGAGGTTGTCCACCTGCGAATGAAATTGATCTCCTAAAATGTCTTTCATCTGGCAGTAATCCAAGCGTGGAAGGTACTGTTGAGCTCCCTAACAACCGCCTTGTCGTCTGTGTTCTCATCTTCGGCTCCCAGTCGACGACCGCATTGCACCCGAGCCCCAAAACGACCATGGCCGAAGGACTCTTTAAGATCGAGAAGGGCGTCACGATCCGGGTCTCAGTCCCACCAGTTTTGGTCGCCACCTGCGAGCTCGTCATCATGGCCGGGTCTGGAAGCATCATCATCTGTGGGGCTATGAGGGTGTCTGGTATAGTGATTGAAAACATTTCAACTGCCAATCTGCGCTATGACTATAATAGCTGGTATGGTCCAACCAGGAAGGGCCAACACCATCCAAAACCCACCTGATGATTTGTTAAAAGTTTGTAGGTCAAGACAAAATTCCTCGCAAGAGGCCTTGACAGGATTCCTTCAGGGTTCTTTGGCAAACGACCTCTACCCAAAGATCTAAACAGAACACATATATAAAGCCATAAAGCCGAACACTTGGATCTATTATCCTATTACCAGTAACAGTGGACGATGATGATAGTTTAAAGGCCGTGTTCAAACATAGTGATACTTGTTTACTGACTGTTACAGGTAAGTGTGGACAAACCCAAATGAACAAACACACATTGTAGCTACATGAAAATGTAGCTACACTATGAAATCAGGATTGCATCCCATCCCATCAGGATCGGCGCTGAAGATGCCTATGCCCAAAACCCAGCCTGAATAAAGGTTTCGCACTCCACGCAAAAGCTTCCCTCTTTGGGGCTTTCGATGCTTTGCACGTGTCCTGGGCGAGAGCGGCTGGCGGCTGGCGGCTGGGACACGTGGCACCAGATCTTTCGTGACCAAATCGGTTCGGCACCGCAACGAGTTGGCGGCCGAAATGTCTGGGTCTAAGGCTGGCGGACCAGTTGGAGATTCAGCTGTAGGGTAAGCCACATGCTTAAGCATGTCTACCCCAGCAGCCAGCAGCAGGTTTTCTAGACCCCTCTCTGTCACTCACCTCTTTTGTTGACCGACGTGAGGCGGTGCGAGGCCCAAAAACACCAGCAGAGAGAGAGAGAGATAAAAATGTACCAGTTACCAGGAGTCACAAAGGGGTGGTTTTTTTCGGTTTTTTGTCTCTAAGTGAGTGGAGTAGCTGGGCACCCCAAACCTCCATGGGTTCGCACTCCTTAGAGAAACATCGGCTGTGGGATGCCGTACATGGCACCTGGAGCCCGGAACTCCTCCGCGCCCGGTTGACCCATGTCTCAGTCTATTCTGTACGGGTGCCCGGGTTTCGATCCACAGCCATATTCCATGGGTTGCATGGGTTTTCTATTTGGCTGTCCTGAACCTGTGCCCGGGCTGTGCTACGAAGTCGCAGTCAGTTTCTCTTTGTATTTTGGCGGGTTCCTTGTCCCCCAATTCACTGGAAAAAGTGAGGCAACAGGCAACAGGAATGTGTTCATGTCCTTGCATGGTCTCCCCAAAGCAACAAACCACGGAAGGCATCTGATCTGCTCTTCCGCCCCTTCAATCCCCATACGGTTCGCCCCAAAAAAACGAGACAAGTGGTGTTTTGTAGTCCTTTACCCCATGGTGATTTTTTTCATGGTTTTTGACCCTCAAATTCAAGGTCACACCCATCGT